ATGCCAAAATGGTAAAAATTTATGGCAAGAAATATGAGAAACGAGTTGAACTCCAAAGTCCGGCACAAAGGGCACGACGCACAGGGGGAGGAGAGAGAGGGTCGGGTCACACATGTGTGGTGGGTGGTGGATGGTGGTGACCCCGCCTAGTCCGGTGATGATGCTGGGGACCACCACCCAGGACTGGGCAGTGCAGTTCAGTCGTTGCAGCTTTGTTTTTGGCCAAACGTGCGAATATTTTTGCAACTTTTGGTCGAAAGTTGAACAGGAAATGGGTCTGGCATATGGTTGCCACCGGGCCAACCGGGATAGAACGGTGTTCCTGCCCTTAATCCCCTTTCTGCAGTCAGGCAGGCAGTTTGCTCTCTGGTTCCTGATTTGTTTTCGTGTTGGGTTAGGAGGCGTTCATCGAGAGCCTGCCGACTGTCGTCGACTGCTCCCAGCAGATGCAAAAATATGCTTTATGTAGGCGCTGACACAGTGGGCGTGGCTGTGGTCAGGGGCGGAAAATTCAATTCAATTGTCAACAGCATCCAGCATCTAGCATGGAGCAGCAAATCCACCGGTGTCCACAGGCTCATCCCCACGCACACACCCATTGCTCTGTGGCCACAGATATAGGCGCCAGTTTAGAGGTCTGAGTGCGTTTACAGGGGGCTTCCCCCTTTTTAGCCAGCTCAGCCCTCAGCTGCAGCACTCACACGTTATATAATGTGGCATCATTTTGCGGTCAGCATTTATGCAGGCCATATACAATTTTGCAGGCCTTTTGTTGACATGGGCAGCAGCAGCAGCAGCAGCAGCAGGTTCTGGCAGTGACCCGTACTCTCCCCGTGACTTTTGACTGCCATGGAGCAGCCATTTAATGCAAAAGCCATGTCAAAAGTCATTTAAGCAGGTTGTCGCTCAAAAGGAACTCGCCTCCATTGAACAACTTAATATCCTTTGGCCCACTACTCCGTTTCCGTGTTAATTGATGGCACCAAGCGATGGCATGCGAAATAAACTGATATCGGGTCACGAGTCCTGCGCCCTGCGTCTTGCTCTCCTACTCTCTCCATTTGATTATTATTTTAGTCATTGTTGTTGGGACGCAGTTATTGTTGCTTTGCCGGCATCTTTGGGATGTCATGCGGGAAACGTTGTCAACGGGGCGAAACAAACAATAGCTGAATATATTTTTTAATTGTACTCTCGAGTAAAAACATATATCAAACAAAACACAGGCAGCTTCAGAATGAAAACAGCAACAGAAAGAAAAACAAGAGCCAGAACGAGAGCCATGAACTCTCCAAACTCTCAACTCTCAAGCGGAAATGGCAGACCAGAGACAACAACAAGCGAACAAGACCAACAATAATAATAATAACAAGTACATCTAGCAATGGCAATGACATCCTCAGATTCAGCATATACACTGGGGGAAATATAAGTAGGACTTAAGTCAATAAGTTCTACTTATTGAAGGGAGAAAGAGGTGAAATGCAGGGAATTGTTTTCTATTTTCAAATAATTGCCCTCAAAAAATTCTACTGAAATTAAACTGAAATTGTAATGAAACTCTTGTAAAATTCTACTTAAATTCTAATAAAATTATTCGAAATTCCCTTGAAAATCTACTTAAATTCTTTGAAATTCCCCTAAAATCCCCTCTGATTTCACATGCATTTAAAATAATTGTCAACATGCTTTTATAAAGAATTTATTCCCCAAACAATTGGCTGGGCTATTATTTAACCAAAATAAATACCATTCTCAGTAAATATGTTTCCCCCGAGCTATTAAAATAAAAATAATAAGGGAAATATATAGATAAATGCCACTCACATCAATCATGGCAGGGAGGATGTCGAGGTTGAAATAATGTCAAGTGCATTATTTATACCGCTTGATTTTTGGATGGTTCGGTTCCATTTCTCCTGTGTAGCCTCCCGCACAAATGTGAGCCTGGGGAGTATGGCCGGGCATCAGAAGGCATCGGGTTATGGCATCGTCAGGGGCAGAGCCAGCCTCAAGTGGCGCTTAATGAAAGCGCAACAGACAACGGGAGAGAGGACCACAGGAACACGACCGCAGGGCAACGGAGTGGGAAATGATGGTCTGGGCGGGTGATAGTGGTGGCAGGGACAACTAAATAGGCGAACCGCAAAAACTCATCGTCAAGGAGCGACAGATACAGCCTGGCAAATGGAAAGGAGGAATAAGGATGCAGAGCGACAGGGGGAAAATCCAACTATGCAGCAATAATAAAATTCACGGGAATTGAGATGACAGCAGCGAGCAGAGGAGGTGGAGGCTGGACCTCAAGCTGTAGATGGAGCAGGAGCAGGAGCAGGAGCTGAAGGAGTCTCGGCCCCGGAAAGGAGCCGCTCGAACTGTGGCTGGGCCTGTCACTTAGCGCGTGACATGTGTCAAAACAAGCGGCAACCGCAGCGAGACCGTGACCAAAGAGAGAGGGCCGCCTGCTGCACAAGTGCACTGTATAGCAGTGCTGTGGTCCTGCGAGTGCTGTTAATATCCTCCCACAAAATGGATTTGAAAGGCAGCAGGAGGAGCCGGAAGAAGCCTCAAAATCGAGTGAGAAGGAAGCTCAAAAGGCGGTAAAGAAGACCTACGCAAAACAAGATTGACTTTAAATTAAGAACACAAGCCACACGGAAGTAGAGGAAGCAGAAGGCCATTTAGGAGTAAAGCAATTAAAAGGAGACTTTAGTGAGGAGAACTTTAATTAAGAACTCTACTGAAAGAAAATGAATTCCAGAAACAGAATATAAAACTTGGGAATCTTACTGGGAAATGAAATCAAGATCAAGGACTTTACAGAAAGATTTCTTGTCTTTCGGGAAAATCTTTTTGTAGTATTAAGAACTTTATTTGTAGAATATATACAAAATATGCCTAACAAAGGGAGTATAACAAGCATATATACGTAATAAAAACTAATGGTCTTTCGATTTATTCCTTTCATTCCAACTCCTAACATGTAAGCAAAAAAAATATAACTTTACCAAAACCACAAACCCCATTCGATAGCCATTAGCTGCCCCTCCTACAGTCCTGAAAAACTACAGGTTTACTTATTTATTCATGTGTGCAATGGGTTTTTGGAAAACCGAAGATACTGAGTGCAGCAGATAGCCTTCCTTGTCCGTCAAATATTTCCATTGCATGTGCCGCAAACATTTCTCTCTGCGGGGGGACGCCCAGCGGAGTTCAAACAGCCTGAAGGGATTCACAGCTCTGGCGGGAGTTATCGTTTGCGTGATTTACACTCCCAATTGCAGGGCAATTACAAGTCCATTAACATTGCCATTAACCCTTGAAGTGGCTGCTGCCAGCTATCAGCTCCAAGCTCCAGGGGGTGCGGACTGCAGCACAATGGATACAATGGCCAGTGGGGCGATTAATGGTCAAGTCCAGGCGAGAGCTATTTATGGGCCAGGAAGAGCCCATATTACTTTGACAAGGACAAACTGTTGCCGGGCAAGGAGTCGCCTGGCAAAGTCTCGCCCCGCCTCGCCTCGCCTCGCCCCAGTTTTGTGTTGTAAATAATCACAAAACTCACTGAGATAGTGTCTCTGTTGCTCTTGGAGTTTCGAGCATACCACCAGCCATCTTCCTTCCGGTTTGTGTTTGTCAAATAAGCAGCTTTCCTCAAGTGCCAAGTGCCATTGACAGGGAACTCCTTGGTTCGTCCTTCTCCTGCTCTTTCCCTCCTCTGGCGTGGTGAATGTGTGCGGTCGCAGTGCATAATGGGATTTCGGTTTATTAATTAACCAAGCAACTCTGAGAGATTCCTGCAGAGGCTGGCTTAGACCTCAACTGGGAATTATTGGCGTCTTTAGTGGAATTGAATTAGGTGAATCCTTGCCACACACATATCGATTGCATGAGCACACACATTGTCGTGTGCGAGATGTGCAAATAAAATGCACAAAACTTTGATTTATTTCCACGTAAAACAAACATTCAAAAGGCTCAGCGTCGCTCGGTGCAAATAGAGAGGCGCACGGTTGCAGGATTGGGCGATGGTACACACGTAATCCCAGGTAGGACTGCCCAGATCCCCACAAACCATGCACGTACCGCGTCCCCCTGCCTGTTTATGTGTACACATTCATTAAAATGTCGAACATCGAAAGTGCCTATTCAGGTTGTTGCCACGCCCACGGCACACACACAGTTGCAATGGCAACAGCACCCGCAGTTGCAGCAGCAGTTGCATCTGCAAATAATTGTCAGCTTACTGACTCGCATTCAATGCAGCAGTCAAAATGCAACAACAAACGAAGTGCAGGGAGTGCAAGAGAGAGAGAGAGGGAGTAGGAAAGGGAGTGGGAGTAAGGGCACAGAACCAGGAGCTGGATTGTAGCTGTGACCAAAATGAAACAATCACGTGCTCCATGCTCCATGAGATCTATGCAAGCGTGCTATAAATGCACGTGAAAGTGGGATCCAAAGTGGGATTTCAAATGCTGAATTCTGCTCCTACTCCCTGTCCTATTCGTCCTGCCTGCCCCGGCGATGGTAATTGGCCTTTCGGTGGGGTGCAGCAGCTGCGGCGGAAGTCAAACGGTATTTGTAATGAAAACAGGGGCATGTATATGCGCAGTACCTATCCGCGAAAAAGGGGTTTTTTCTCCCCTTTTTTTTATTTTTGGTGCATTGCCAACGCACTTCAGGATCAGGAATAGGGGGAGGGAGGGAGCAGCCCAGCGCAGAGATATTTGAATTGCGCTGCGGAAAACCGTCAGGGGGATGGCGGAAAAGCTAAGGGAAAATTTTAGCTGCACATGACGCGTGATTTATGTATTTTCGTCAAATGGCAGCCACCGCAGCAGTGGGACAAAGCTGCCATGAAATGCTAATGATGCCATGCCTCGGATGCTTTCATAACCCACACAGAGCACACGACAAACTATCACACACATACACATGATATATCCTGAATATATGCATATGCTCTGGCACACTAACCCGTTCTTGTTCTCACCCCGCAGGATCACAAGCTGAAGCACATGGCCGAGCTGCAGCAATCAGTTGTCACCGATCAGGAGACGCGTCATCAGATCCAGACCCAGATACTGCAGTGGGAGGAGAATCTGGAGCGGCTGCACTGCGAACAGTTCCGGCTGCGCTGCTACATGGCCTCGCTGCAGAGCGGCGAGCTGCCCAATCCGAAGGTGAGTTATGGCCAGTGGACACACAGAAATTCAAACTGTCAGGGAGATAAGTCGGAGGCAATTAATGGGGAAAGCCGTCTCGTTCTGGCTGTGCTCCATGGTTCATCCACATCCACAGAACGGGCGCAGTTGTTAGCGCAAAAAATATTGCCAGCATTTGCGGGCAGTGCAATTTCAGAAAAGGTGTTGAAGTTCACTTGTAACCGCAGGTTTAAATTGCTGAAATGAAACATTTTTATTTTTTATTTCATTTAAATATGACACGAAATTGTGCAACGATTACATGGAAAACGTGTTAAAGTTCACATCGTAGCCCCAGGAAAAACTTTGATGTTAAATTTAACAAGAACTTAATAGCCATTTTTAAGTAAAGCTTTTGCAAAATAACCAAATTAAATTGTTAAATAAAGCAACAAAGCAAATCAAAAAGCTAAAATATGGTAAAAATATATTTTGGTTTATAACCGCAATATTAATTTAAGCTTTAGAGTTCAAAAATACATTGTGTCTAGAGGTTTATTAGTAAATATTAGAAATTAAATTTTAAAAGCTTAATGTACACAAAATAAATGTGTTGCCAGTGACCGCAACCAATTTTTAGAAGAGGTGTTAACCGCCAGACTAATTATTTGATGTTTGAAAATATATATACAACAAGAAAGGAAGCTAACTTCGGCTAGCCGAAGTTGAAATACCCTTGCAGTAAGTAAAAAAATAAAAAATAGTTTAAGAGTTTAAGTTTAAGTAAGGATTGCGGTTAGTTTCAGTAAATTTTATTTTTTTCGAAATTCACGTACTAAGCCCCCACACCACGACAAGGTCTCAATCCACGAGGGGGAAATTATAGCTAAATATGAAATATATTGGAAAATTTGTTAATATTTTCAATTTTTTTTATATATTTACAATACTATATTTACAATAAATTCTACTTATAGCCATAATTTGTTAAATAACTTAAGTATACACTCTTACAAGCTATATTTAAAAAAAATACCATCATGATGGCTATAAGGTGTTTTATATGTAAGGGCAACAGCTTCTGGAACTCGAGAGTCAGAAAATATCCAATCAATTTGGGTTTGGTGTTTTGTCGTTGCAGAATTATTCAATGACAAAAGATTATGTCCATTCAAAAATTCCTCCAAAACATCGCTCGCTGAGGATCTGCAGATATTAAAATCTCCTAATATTACCACTTTATTATTATCCATTCTGCGTACTTTTTCAACTTCAGATTTAATTTCATTTCGAAATCTTGCAATAGGAAATCCGGGACTCCTATACACAATTATAAATGACGTGTCAAGATATTTAAAAACAATCGATTGATAGGTTGCTCTGGGACTTGGCGATTTCTTTGTCTCAAAAAGAAATTGCACATTTGACGAAATACTTTGTTTAGCATATATGAGTATTCCGTTTTTCCCAATACCATTTAACCGATTGTTATCAATTCTTCTGATAATGTCGAAATCCCTTAAGTTGTACTCTTCCTGGGGAAGAGTCCAGGTTTCAACAAAACATAAAAAGTTTGCAGAACAAATAATGTTGTCATTGGCAATGTCTTCGCGATGAGCGCGAAGAGACTCAATGTTGTGATAATACATGGAGATGGCATTATCCCCATTGATCAATAATTCATACTGCGTAGTCAAGGCCTTTTCACCTCTTAAGCTTTCTAGCTCTGCTTGGACATTTGTAGCTCCAAATCTAGTTGGAGGAACAAAGTCTCCTAAAAGGAAAAGACCCGATGCGCTTGTTGCTCTGCTGCAACCTACGTAAAGCGAAGCTCGCTTAATGCCCCTTTTAAGGTGCACTGCGACTTTGCTGTAGGTTGCTCCTTGGCTTTTATGTATAGTTATAGCCTCAGCAGGAACAACAGGGAATTGTTTTCGATCAACCGAAGAATGTCCTGAGCTTCCGCATTGGAATACTCGAGCTGTTTTTTCAATTGGAGTCCAATCTGGATGATCATTTCTCCGAACTTTTGACCTGGCCATGGCACCAACTGTAGGATCTGAAAACTTAATCCAAAGTTTTGTTACTAACCTAACGTTGTTTACCATGCAGTTGTCAATCTGCATTAATTGGCCTGTTGCCCCATTTACCAGTCCATCATTTGTATCTATATTGACGGTAACCATATACTTTGCTGTTGTTTTTAGATGCAGAATATATGGCAGTCCCTGGGTTTCGGACGTTTTCATATTTTGGGCATTTCTGAGAGTTGTTTCTTTATTTCTTACTGACATATTAGCTGATTTCACAGTATCTATGGCAGTTGAAACAAACTCTTCTGTGGCGATTTGAGCGAGCTTTAAGGCGTTGTACTGATTAACCTCGTCATTGGAAGCAAATAAGTGGATTGCGTCATCCGGAACGTCGTTTGGCGTGACAACTCTTTGCCTAAAAAGCACCACATCTGCATCTGTCATGTTAGCTTCTGACATGTTATTCAAAGCCAAAGCAAATGCATGATCGTCCCGTTGCCTCATTATTTCTGTTAGCTCGAAATACCTAAAATTACTCCACAGGTTTGTGCCAGCCAGAATGTTATACGGATTTGAGATATTCTCTAGGAATATCCACCGATCTCCTACTGGGCACAGCTGCTTCAGATCTCCAAACACTATAATAGACTTACCGCCAAAAACTACGTCTTGGCTTCTAAAAATTTGTCGAAGTCTTTGATCTAAATATCCTAGCGTTTTAGATCCGACCATCGAGATTTCATCGATGATAATTAATTGGAGGTCTATTAGCTTGCAATGCATTGTGTTTATGGAGTCATTGCTTAAAGGTCTTAAAGGACCTGATGTTTGATTCACTGGAAGTGAGAAAACGGAATGAAGTGTAAGTCCTCCAATTCCAAAAGCTGCTTTTCCAGTAGGAGCACAAAGTAAGACCTTTGCAGAATCCGTTGCTCCCGGTAGCTTATTAGCTCGCCAAGTTATAGACTGATATATAGTTGAAATCAGTCTGCTTTTGCCAACTCCAGCACCTCCCCCAACATATTCATAAAATGTTTTTTTGGCTGCTATATTATGCATTACGTGGGCATAATACTGACGTTGCTTTGCGTTAAGCGACCTGGACAGCGAGCAAAGGTTATCATCAGAAACTAACGGGGGAAGTCTAATTAGTTGAAGTTCGCCATCTTCTGTGTTATTTACAGCATTGTCATCTTGGAGTATATTAACGTTTTGTCCGACGTTTGGTACCGCCAAGGCCCTAAATTCTTCATCTAGATATTGAGAGGCAGGTTCCTGAGGTAGAAGCCCATTATCTTCTCTTTCAAAATTTTGCAAATCTTGAAGAACTCTCTCTAGTTCCATATCATCAAACACATCATATTGCTCTTTGTTGCGCTTAATGATTTCATGATTATTTCTGAATGTCATTTCATTGTCATTCGAAAGAAGTTCAGTCTCTTCATTTCTCCATGGGAAGAAAAGCATTACGTGCTCTCTGAAATAATCAGAAGGGGAAGAGTTTATGCTAAAGCGAACCCATCTAAGAATTAAGGCATGCTTGCGTCTTTTGACACTCCCAGTTCCATCTAGCAGTTGGTAGCTTTGGTTAGAAATGGGATTTTGTTCATTTAGTTCCAAGTCGATCGCTTCATCATAATCTTCGTTGGACGGTTCTGATGGTGCGTTTACCTTGGAAAATTTGTACCAAGCTGCAAATTCTGCAAGGCATATCGATTCTAAGTCTCCATGCCTCTGTACGTACCGATCAAGCAAGTTTTGCTCGAAAATGTCAGTTGAGTTCCCAGGAAGCTGCTCTAATTCTCTATTAGATCGCACTATCCGAACTCTTTTATCTGGATGGCAAGTGTTTACAAAAATATTTCCTTCACTTGCCTCAGACATGTGTAAGCCTAAAATGTTGTAGGCTGCTTCTTGGGCTGATATTTCCGTAGCATTAATAAATTTGCTCCCGAGATGCTGCAACTTTCTTTTTACTGAAATATTTCCATGGCTTATTTCAGTCATGGCTTCTCGAAGCAGTTGCGACACCCCACGGTTCGATTTGTTTATGTAGTTAATTATATAACTACAACAGGCAAATGCATCTAAGATAAACTGTATATCCATGTTTGCCCTATGTAGGCCCAGGATATCCCTGTTATAAGCATTTACCAACCTATCGGAAAATTTGCGGCGAAGAAATACCTGAGGCTTTTTCAAGCTTGATCGGATGGCGAACTTGTACTCTTCAAAACTTATCTGTAGATGGGTAAGAAAGTTTTCAAAATTATTAAAGACGGCTGCTTCTTCATCGGAAGTTGACTTTAAAAGCTCTTTAATTTTTTTAAACATTTCTTTAAAATGTTCAACATTGGGTTCGTTGTCTTCTAACGGAAACAAAACCATTGTTTCAGGCATTGGAGGGTATGGCATTTGAAACCTGCAGAATTCCTGGCCACGCAGTTCTCTTAAACACGAAGAACTATGTTTATGCCGCTGATATTGAATTACTTCTTGCAATTCAGGATCGTCCCCTGTGGTTGTAATAAAACGATCAATGAAACTCACCACTTGATCGGAATTTTCTGGTCCTTCTAGCTTTGGAGCGCCAGAAAACCAATACATTCCATGAGAGTGGGGCGATCCTCTGTGCTGGAATTCTATCCTCCAATAATAATGGACCAGAGTAAACTCGCCAAAAATTTCGGAGCTTTTGAACAATTTAATTAATTGTCGAAACCTAAAGTCAAAGTATCGGGAGCATGTTACTGGGTCAGATCTTATTAATCTAGCTTTTTCGGCTGTAGAAAGAGATGCCGCTTCGTCTTCTGTAATATTTCTATTATCCAATAGACGAGAAAGAGTCACCAAAAGTTCATTCCATTTGGATTCCGCTGCGGAAAAAGTTATAAAAAAAGTAGGCAGCCCAAATTGCCTTATCATAGCTATGACTTTTTTTTTCTCAGCTTCCCAGTGAGCTGGAGCGGATCGAAGACCTTTTAGAATGTGATATCCGTCGTCATG